ATGTAGAGAAAGAAACCAGGCCCTTTTCAGAGCTCTTAAGTCCTAGGTAAAGCCTCGCGTGTGCAGTCGCTCAATCATGTCTGGGTTGCCATTTCCTCCTCCATAGAAGCTTCCCAACCCAGGGATCAAACCAAATCTCCTGTGTGTCCTGGGTTGGCAGATGGATTCTTCACCCGTGAGCCATCCGGGAAGCCAAGTCCAGGTAAAGCCTTGTCTGATCCTAAAACTACCGCTGATCTTTTTTGGTCACAGTGACCCAGAAATGTCATTTTGTTTTAGCCACTAGGATTAAAGTTTCGGTTGCTTGCAAGTGTTAGGATCCTAACTGACAGGTCTTTTTTTCTGGTAATACAGCTCTCTTTGAAGGTTAAGCAGATAATCCAGTCCAGATACTTTAAAACTAACCCAAGCTTAAAACAGATCACACGGGATGAACTCCAGAGCTCATACTCCACTCCCTGCAGACTCGCCTTTAATCTGCTGTGCTTCGGCAAAAAGAAATGCTGTGTGAAACTTGGCCCTGAGTCCATTGTAAAGCTGTTATGGAAGGGGTGGCTCCCTACTTTACACAAGGTTATTCTGGTCTTTTAACTGCCTCTGCTAAGTAGTGGATTAATTTTTTCCCACATGAACCCTGTGAAGTATGTAAATAACTAGTTATCCTTTTTTCTCTTGCCTGCCAGGAAACCCAATACTTGCAGCAAAAATATAGAACTCCATAGTGCTGTGTGTGTGTTTTTTTAAAATAGTAGCCTTGTTCCTGGTTTAATTTTATGTTCTTATCCTTGTTTTCCCTGTCACATTCTCACTTACTTTTTATTTATAAAATCCTGCTGCATTTCATGTATCCCTATATGGAAATAGGAATTATAAATCTAAAAAAAACATTGCTTTGATTTAGGTTTGGTTAAAATGAAAAGATACTCGAGGGAAGAGCACTGTTGTATCAATTACTTTGAATTTTAGTAAAGAAAAGGGAAGGGGGATGGAAGAACATTTAAATTCCAGGGATCTCAATAGCATAAGGAATCAAGACACCAGATAGGTGGGAGAAAGATCCTATTTACATTTTAACCTCTGTCTCATTTACATTCTGCCAAGAAGAAGCGAGAAGTCTCCTGAGCAGACTAATACAGAGTTCCTCCTGAGATGGTTATTTACTGTTAAGTACAGAGTCTCCGCAGAGCTTCCCCGGTGGCTCAGCAAAGAATCCACCTGTCCAGACAGGAGACGTAAGAGATGTGAGTTCTACCCCTGGGTCAGGAAGATCCCCTGGAGGAGGGCATGGCAACCCACTCCAGTATTCTTGCCTGGGAAATCCCATGAACAGAGGAGCCTGGCGGGCTACAGTCCATGGGATCCTAAAGAGTTGGACATGGCTGAGAGCACTCACACACTTTAAAGTTTATGGAAAATGAGATCCAAAGGAGTCAAAGTTGCCTTGAGAAGTGGATGTCTAGGTGTAGAAATGGGTAAAAGGATTTTGGCTGACATTGGCAACATTGGTTGCCTTGCCCTCCTCCAGGGAATCTTCCCAACCCAGGGATAGAACCTGCATCTTTTAGGGCTCCTGCATTGGCAGGCGGATTCTTTACCCACTGAGCCACCAGGAAAGCCCCTAAAAGCTATTCTCATAGCACCAGCATCACCTGGAAGCCTGTTAGAAATGTGATATCTTAGGCCCTGTGGTATGCAGGATAATGACCCCTCAAAGATGTCCTCATCCAATCCCCAGAACCTGTGAAGAAGTTGCTTTACATGACAAAGGGAATTTTGTTGATTGACACAGGGGGATGATCCTGGATTAGCTGGGTGGGCCCAATATAATCACATCATCACACAGATTCTTTCTGTTTTTAAAAAATGTTCTGATGTGGGCCATTTTAAAAGTATTTATTGAATTTGTTACAATATTGCTTCTGTTTTATGTTTTAGTTTTTTTGGCCCTGAGGCATGCACGTGGGTCTTAGCTCTTTGACCAGGTACCGAACCCACACTCTGCATTGGAAGGTGAAGTATTAACCACTGGACCACCAGGGAAGTCCTTACATGTAGGTTCTTATAAGTGAAAGAGAGAGGTAGGCAAGTCAGGGTCAGAGAAGGAGATATGATGACAGAAGGTTGGTGTGATGCAGTTCCTGGCTTTGAAGATGGAAGAAGGAGCCCGTCTCCTCTTTGAAGAAGGAGCCTGAAGCCAAGGAATGTAGATGGACTCTAGAAGTTGGGACAGGCAAGGGAGAGGCATCTCCCCTAAAGCCTTCACAGGGAACTCAGCCCTGTCAACACCTTGATTTCAGCCCCATGAGATTCACTTTTAACTTCTGACCTCAAGGGTCTAAGATAATAGATTTGTCTTGTTTAAATCATTGTTGGTGGTGATTTGCTAAAGCAGAAGTAGGGAACGACCACAGGCCACATCCCAGACCTACTGAGTCCAAAACTCTGAGGGTGGGCCCTGCATCTCTGTTACCCACTTCTCCTCCCACCTTCAATCTTTCCCAGCATCAGAGTCTTTTCCAATGAGTCGGCTCTTTGTAGCAGGTGGCCAGAATATTGGAGCTTCAGTTTTAGCATCAGTCCTTCCAGAGAATATTCAGGGCTGATTTCATTTAGGATTGACTGGTTTGATTTCCTTGCTGTCCAAGGGACTCTCAAGAGTCTTCTCCAGCGCCACAGTTCAAAAGCATCAATTCTTTGGCGCTCAGCCTTCTTTATGGTCCAACTCTCACATCTGTACATGACTCCTGGAAAAACCACGCTGCTGCTGCTAAGTCACTTCAGTCGTGTCTGACTCTGTGTGACCCAATAGACGGCAGCCCACCAGGCTCCCCCGTCTCTGGGGTTCTCCAGGCAAGAGTACTGGAGTGGGGTGCCATTGCCTTCTCCGGAAAAACCATAGTTTTGACTATATGGACCATTGTTGGCAAAGTGATGTTTCTGCTTTTTAAGTTTGTCTAGGTTTGTCATAGCTTTCTTTCCAAGTAACAAATGTCTTTTAATTTCATGGCTGCAGTCACCATCTGCAGTGATTCTGGAGCCCAAGAACATAAAATCAGCCACTGTTTTCACTTTTTCCCCATCTATTTGCCATGAAGTGATAGGCCCAGATATTATGATCTTAACTTTTCAAATGTTGAATTTCAAGGCAGCTTTTTCACTCTCCTCTTTCATCCTCATCAAGAAGCTCTGAGTGCCCTGAGGACTCAGGAATTCCCATCTGGAGGGCTGGAATCACTGATTATTGTGACATCCTTGTTCACAGATATGGCAGGAAATGTTCCATTTCTCACAACAAATAAGGCACAGAGCCTGAGTCTTCTGGTTCAAAGCCACTGTCCTTCACTTCTACCCGCCCACCCCCCCAACCACTTTCACTCTGACTCGTTCCTTGGGGTGGAAAGTATCCACAGAAGATTCCAGGAAAGGATCTGGCTCTTTAAAACCATCCCCCACTTACAGGCAGAAAGGGGCCTGTTCAGTGAGTTCACGCCAAATCCCATGTAGGTGACCTTGGGGGAGGGGAGGGTGCTGACCAGAAAGATTCTGATGACAAGAGATAAGGGAAACCTGCGGGGGGAGGGGGGGCAGGCAGCTGAGACTATCACCTGGAAAGCAGAAAGCCCAGAGCCCTGCTCCCAACCACCTATCCACCACCCTAGGGCAGGGGAAGGGGGAGGAAGAGAAGGGGCCGGGAGAGGAGAGCAGTGTGGTGAGGGGGAGCTGGTGGGGAGGGAAGAGACACAGTTCAGGGACCTGAGATAAATAGCCCCATCCCCACTGCAGGCTCATTGGGAAAGCCCCTGATGCTGGAAAGATTGAAGGCAGGAGGAGAAGGGGATGACAGAGAATGAGATGGTTGGATGGCATCACTGACTTCATGGACATGAATTTGAGCAAACTCCAGGAGATAGTGAAGGACAGGGAAGCCTGGCGTGCTGCAGTCCATGGGGTCACAGAGAGTCAGACACAACTTAGTGAAGGAACAAGGACCACTGCAGGAGCCCTGGGCTGACAGAGGCCTAGTCTGTGCCTCTCTTCACCCACCCGCTAATACCTGCAGACCTTCCCTCCCCTAAAGGGTGAGTTGAGGGAGGAGGCCTGGGCGGGGAAGGGACTAGGCCTGGCTGCCAAGTGTGCAAGTTTGGGAGGAGGGCAGCAGTTTGGTGTCCTGAATTGAAAAACACAGGCAGAATTTGGAATCACCTAGTGAAAGTGAAAAGAAGAAAGCGTTAGTCGCTTAGACTTGTTCTACTCTTTGAGACCCTGTGGACTAGCCCACCAGGCTCCTCTGTCCATGGGGTTCTCCAGGCAAGAATACTGGAGTGGGTTGCCATGCCCTTCTCCAGGGAATCTTCCCGACTGATCCCAGGGATCGAACCCAGATCTCCTGGGTTGTAGGCAGATTCTTTACCATCTGAACTACCAGGGAAACCCTGAGAATCATGCAGATGCAGATTCAAATCCTAAATCTGCCATCTCTTTCAACTTGGAGTATGACCTGGAGCTAGTCTCTGAGCCAGGTTCCCTCGTAAATAGCAATAACAATGCCTGGTCCTTGAGAGGATTCTGAGAAAATACACAGGCTGTCAGGTGATTCTGCTGCTCCAAAGACCACACTGTGAGTGGCATCATCTGGGAAACTTCACACTGAGCCCCTGAGCTATGCCAGGCATTGTGCTAGCTACTTTCTATACATTTACTAATGGAATAATTTCAACAAGCCTCTGAAATGGAACTTACTCTTTTTACTTTCCAGAATAGGGGACTGAAGTTCAGAAAGATGAAAGAAAAAAAAAATGGGGGAGCCACCTTGCAGCTTGCAGAATCTTAGGTTCCCTGACCAGGCCACTGCAGTGGGAGTACCGTGTCCTAACCACTGGACCACCAGCGAATCCTCAGAAAGATGAAGTATTTAACAAAGTTAGTAAATAGGACGCCGAGCCGGAAGTGGAGCTTGCTCACGGGTTTGCTGCGAGGTTTCGGTCTCGAATGGCGGCACCATGTCGAAAGTTTCTTTTAAGATCACACTGACGTCAGACCCGCGGCTGCCATACAAAGTACTCAGTGTTCCTGAAAGTACACCTTTCACAGCTGTCTTAAAGTTTGCAGCAGAAGAATTTAAAGTTCCTGCAGCAACAAGTGCAATTATTACCAATGATGGAATAGGAATAAATCCTGCACAGACTGCTGGAAATGTTTTTCTAAAGCACGGTTCAGAACTGCGAATAATTCCTAGAGATCGTGTTGGACATTGTTAATATCCGCTGCTTGGAACATAAAACCCCCTTCCAGAGTAAATATTGGTAATGTTATTATTGTAAAATTGAAATCAGGCGTTTGAAATCCTATGAAAACACCAGTAATTGATGACATAGTGAAAGGTGACTGTCTGTCCGTGCTTGTTGACACTTCACGTGAGGAGAGAACGCATCCAGGCCTAGGGCACCATGACCACAGAGGATCAGTCTTTCATTGCTGCCTCGCTGCACACACAGGTAGTTCATCAGGGGTGAGTGTGTCTTATAACCTGAGGGTGCTTCTGGTCATTCTTTCTGAGAACATCTGGAAAATTAAAATTTACTGAAGCTTCCTTCTTGTCCCTGCGTTAAAAATGTAAAAAAGATTATGGATCCACACATGACGGTTGGCTTGTTAGCATCTGACTCACAGACAGAAACATAGTTGACTTCCTCCTTATATATCATTTATGATAAAGGATCATATCAATGAATAACTATCTTATCATTTAGCTTGTTTTAAAGTTTTAGACTTCTTGAGTTCTTATAAGTTTTAATTTGACATCAAAGAGCCCAAAATTGCATTTTCAATCTAGCCCTTATGGGTAAAACTGGTTGTATCCCACACCAAAGAGTTTTAGCGATGATCTTGCAGACTCCAGTACTTGTAATGATGAGAATTAAGAATAAGTAGAAGCATCAGTTGCTGAACTATGCATTCCTTTATTGATCTCTTTTAAAACAACTTTTAAAATAGGAATTCTCGAGAAACCATCATCTTTTTGAGGATAATCGTAAATAGCCTTCAGGGAGACAGTGTAAAGAAGAACATCTGAAAGTTCACAACAGCGCTCATAGAAATGCTAATTTAAATTCTGGTTGGTTATACATAATGAAGACCCACCATTTAAGGAAGCATTAAGATTATAGTTGTGGTTTGAATAAGAAGCTAGGAAAGGAAAATGGGGAAGCCCAGATGACGAGGCTTCTAGCAAGAAGGAAAGAAACAAAAGGGAAGGCAAGCAGAAACTTGTAACAGGAGTGTCACAGAAAAGGCCAAAGTGGTTAGACAAAACTGCAGAGGCTATGGAGAGAACTGAAGGGAAAACAAAATACTTGACATTGTTATAAGGAGCCAAAGATGATCAGAGAAAGCACAGCATAGGCATTGTCAGCATATGGTTTTCAGAATTCCCCTTAAAGAAAGATATACATAGGGAAGATTATGTTTGCCCTTAGTGAGGGCATCAGTATCTATGCATATCTTGAAAGGAGAAGGCTCATAGTGATTGAGAACCAGCACTTGCTGTATTCTAGAAGCTGCGGTCTCTGGAGGCAGGCCTGGTTGGTTGGTATCTGTTCTGCATTTTGGAGGCCTGGAAATGTAAGCTTCAAGATACAGGTGTTGAATTATTCATGAATAAAGTGTTTCTAAAACCAGTTTTTATTGAAATGTGCATAGGCCCTAGGTTCATGGGGGAAAAAAATTATGTAACAGACTCAGTATCAGAAAGGTGATATTGGTTAAGACTAAGACATGGTTCAGGTATTTGATAGTGACTAGAAGTCTTCTGAATTGTAAAGGGCAAAAAAATTTGTGCTGAGGTAGAAAAGTATGTTTCTAATGTTTGTGAAATTTTTTATTTTTATAAGCAAACTTATTTTCTGATGCCTAAAGACTCCTGGTCTTTAACAAAATTAAACCTCCATTAATGAGAAGTTTTCTGACTTTTTTGTCTTATTTAGATTTTCCCTCATTCTGTTTCTAGCACAGAATTCTGCCTGATCTGTCACACACGTAGGTTTTATGATGTCTCATAAATTATTTAATATTTTTGTTTTGGTTGGAAAATTTTATTACAGTAATGTCTTAAAAATATTTTATTGTATAGAACTAGACATGTTATTAAATATGATCTGTAACTTCTTTGTGCAAAATGTTTCAAAGTGGTGTATTTAAAGTGCTATGGTCCATGATTCATATCTTGTGAAAATACATTTTCTTATACCATAAAAAAAAAAAAAAAGTTAGTAAATAGCAGCACTGGGCTTTGAACTTGGGTCTGTCTGATTTTATAGCTCATACTGGGCCTCCCAGTCAGCAAGACTGCTGTGGATTGGACTGTGTCCCCCGCCAAATCCATATGCTGAAGCCCTAACTCCCTGTGTGGCTATATGTGGAGTAAGGAAGTAATTAAATAAGTCATGAGGGTAGTACCCTAATCCAGAAGGATTAGCGTCCCCATGGAAGGAAACATCAGAGAGCTCATTCTCTTTCACTGCCACGTAAGGGCACAGTGAGAAAGGGCCATTTGCAAACCAGGAAGAAAGTCACACTAGGAACTGAATCAGCTGGCACCTTGATCTTGGACTTCCCAGCCTCCGAAACCATGAGAAATAAATGTCTGCTGTTTAATCCACCCAGTCTGTGCTATGTTGTTATGGCAGCCCAATTAGACTAAGGCAGGGGCTCAGCTGCTTCAAAGCAGCCAAAGATGCTGATTAAAATGAACAGCTCTCCTTCTGTGGAATGTCGCTCTGCTCAAAAAGAGCAGGACTGAGGGAGAATCAAAATGATGATCATAATGATGATAATTCACACCCAAGCCGAAGCCACCTGTACCATTCACAAGTGAACACACACACACGCACACACACATACACACACACAAAACAAGCTCAGAACAATAAAACTACCCAAAACCTCACAAACTAAATCCAAACATTTTCCTTGAGAAGACAGGAAGTGGCCCAGCAATCAGGTATTACCCACTAATTTGCTGCATATATTGAGATGACTAAGTCTGCAGTCTTACAGAATGGACAGGTGAAGTGAATAATCTAAGCCCTGGCTCTTAAAGCTTAGCAGAGCCCCCTATGCCTGCAGGTCATTGGACAATGTGAGTGTGGTAGATTAGATATCTGAATGATTCTCCCAGTGAGAAAGTGAAAAAACTAAATGCTGAATAAAATATCAAACAAAATACCTTCCTTTTTTTTTTTGGCGGTGCCACATGGAATGCAGGATCTTAGTTCCCCAACCAGGGGTTAAACCTGTGCCCCCCACGGTGGAAGGACAGAGTCTTAATTAACCACTGGACCACCAGGGAAGTCCTCAAAATATCTTTTAAAATGTATCACTGAATTCACACAAAAATGAGTAACCCACAGATATCAAAACTGGGGGTAAAGGAGTCCCAAGGCCAGCTGGTACTCTGAGGCTTTCTGCTGGACACTGGAGGCTTTGAGCTTGCACTTTGACAGTTGCTCCAGGTGAGAGATCAGAAGACAGATCTTAGGGTCCACCCAGTGATGTGGGGAAAAAAATGCATGCATATGTATGTACATAAATTTTACTGACATAAATTTTGTATGGCTCCAATTTACAAATAATAATAAAACACACAACACATCTTATTGTAAATTCTATATAGAAAATTGATCCTACAAAACACTTGCTGATTTTTGCCAAAATGTTTTATCCATAGCCAACCTATGGTTATAATTCACTGTAGTTCTAACATGAATGTTGGCTAACACTTATTTATGTTAAGGAGGAAGATAAAATGAAGCAAGACATATGTTGGCACTTCCTTCATTAGTCAATAATGTAACCAACTTCTTTACTCAATCAGATAATAATTTTGAATACTAGAAGAGTACTTCCTCACTTTTTCTGTGCTAATCTCAACGTAATGGCTGAAGACACAACATACCTTTAAGTTTGATTTAAATTATTAATATTTCATCACTTTCTTAAGGCTAGACAATTAATAAAACATTAAACCAAGTCTTCCTTTGTAGCATTTGCTGATTTTCAGGTGTAAATACTTTCATCATGGTTGATTTCAAGCTATCAATGTGATTTCACTGAAAATGAAGTTGGGAAGAGATACACAATACTATTGTTAATATGTAGGATTTTCAATAGTGAATGGTTTAAATCAGGGGTTAGCAAACTTTTTCTTCAAAGTGCAAGATAATAAATATTTTAGGCTTTGTGGGCTACATAGGTCTCTGTCAAACAACATTATTTGGCTTTCTCCACAACACATTAAAACATTTTAAAAAACATTCTTAACTTGAGGACTATATAAAAACAGGCTATGCACCAGATTTGGCACACAGGCTACAGTTTGCCAACCTCAATTTTAAATAAAAGATTAGATATAGCATAAGAGAGAATTAGTGAACTAGAGAACTAGTGAATTAGACTAATTAGGCTAATTTCTCAATGGCAACAACTGAAACCTAGAGTGGCTGGAATGATATCTTTAGTTTGCTAACAGAAAATAACTGTCGACCTATAATAATTCTATACCTAGTGAAACTATCTTTCAAGAAGAAAAATGAAATAAAACCATTTCAAATAAAAGCAGAGTGTGCTGCCAAAATTCTTTCACTAAAGAAAACCTAAAGAATGTACTTCAGATATCTTGGATGGAAGAACCAAGTAAAAAAAAGAAGAAATGGTAAGCAAAGATGTTAGTCAACATGTGTATAAAACTAAGCACATATTGTCTGTGTAAAAATATTAAATACTGTGAAATTTGTGTGTGTGTGAAAAGGGAAACAGGCTAAAGTATTGGGTGAGAATATAAAATAAATTAGGAGAGTGTGATTGAAATGAAAGAATTCTAAGACCCTTACGTATTTGGGAAGGATGCACAGATTCTAACTGGACTTTAGACTTCACTATATTAGGGATGCCTTGTTTTTCAGATGGGTGGTGAGTATATATTCATTCTATTATTTTTCTTTAAAATAGTTCAATTTTTAAATAAACTTTGTATGTACTAAATATTTTATAATTATAACTACAATGATAACTTTTTACAAGAAAGAAGGAAAAGGTAGTTGTAAAATCAGCTCAAAAATAGACTCTGCAAAGGACCCGCAGCATGTGGGTGAGCCATGCTGGGTGCCCTGCTTCAGCATCAAGGTCTGAAACTGGAGGACAGTTTAAATGCAGCCTCGTTTGCTGTCCTGTCCACTTTGGTTCTCCATAGATGGGGACAGCG